GATTGGACTTTTTTTTTTTTTTTTACCTAAAAATTAACCAGAATAAATGTCATTTAATGCATTAGAATCCCTCACAAAATATGAAAATGGTATAGGGATAATGACAACAACTTTATGTCATTTGCAATCAATGCAAATTTTCTATATGTTTTCCTTTCTTTAGTCCATAGAAATAGTGATGGCCTGATGGGACTCAAACTTCTACCAAAGTTATCTCATCTCAATACATTAAATAAATAAAATTTACTTGCTTATTATCCATAAGATGCAAAAGGCAACCGATGAAATAATCTTGGCTTATCACCCCTGCAAAAGCTGCACAAAATAGAGTCAAACCTATTATTTATGCTTACATAGACCAATGACCAAGAAAAATCAAATGGCTTCCCCTGTTTTCCCATACATTTTTCTACTGTGTTTACATTTTTACACACCTTATGCACATCCTTTTGAATTAAGGCACAAAACTACATTCCCTCTAGAGTTTGTTAACCAAATTGATGGAGTTAAAAGGGGAGATATTGTGGAAGGCTTGTATGAACTCAAGAAACACCTTTCATATCTTGGGTACCTAAACTATAACATTTATTCTGAAAGAAACACTTTTGACGACTCTTTAGAATCTGCGGTTAGAAAATATCAACAATTTTACAACCTTAACATATCGGGAGTCCTAGACAAAAGTACAATAGTACACATTCGGAAACCTCGATGTGGATTGCCGGATCACTACAATGGTAAAAACGGCATAACATCGTTACATATGGCTTCACATTATTCATTCTTTTCAGGTCGTCCAAAATGGCACAAAAAACGACTCAAGTACGTTTTCAATACAAACGTGAAGGAAGAAGCTAAGAAAATAGCATTGGAACGCGCATTAAAGGCATGGTCAACATCCACGCCTTTTAAATTCGATCGTGTGGGCAAATATAAGGAAGCCGATATCAAGATCAGCTACATGCCCGCTTACCATGGGGATGGGCACCCGTTTGTGGGCCCGGATGCGGCCTTGGCCCACACGTATCCGCCTCCGGACGGGAGGGTTTCACTTTAATGCCGCGGAAAATTGGACCGCATATGATGTCCAAAGTGTTGGGATACATGAGTTGGGCCATGCTCTTGGGCTTGGCCATAGTAGAATTAAGGAGGCTGTCATGTATCCTATAATTCATGAAGGTGAAGTAAAGGGGTTGCATCAAGATGATATTGAAGGTATCAAGGTTTTGTACAAATACTAATTTCCCCCTATGTATCCAAATTGTGTTAAAGTTTTTGAGCAATTCAAACTATATAATTTTGATAAACAAGTTGAGCTCAAAGGCTCAAACTTAAATTCAAACTATATAATTTTGCTAATAAATCATTTCAATGGGGTTACACTTGTGAGCACGTGATATGTTTATGAAATAATGTCTAAAAGGGCTAAGTTGTACATCTGAAAAGCTGAGAGTAGTGACAGCCAAATTTGTTGCTTTACATGAAAATTGAAAAATAACTGGATTTCACCAAAACTCTTGATCCAAGTGAAAATTAATTAGAAATTGCTTGGATACAAATTTTTCCAAAAAACTGGTCAAATAAAATAATAAATAGAAAATTTGAGATTTCTATAACAAAAAGTAAATAATTTATATTTGAATGGTATACTTAAAAGTGTTATTAATATTGTATTTCATAATAAATATTTATCACGCAAACCTGATTGACCTGATCAAGTCGATGCCCGAGTTGACAGTGTCAAGGCCGAGTTGTCTTCGATTTGATTAGGTCCATTCATTGTTACCGAATGACCCTTCTAGATCGGTTTCGGATATGGGTCAATTAATGGGCCGGGCTAAAAAGATATGGATAAACATTAAAGCCCATAAAGCTGGTTTGTTAGTTTCCCAACATGACACTCTCTCTTTACGTACAGAGTAATGAAAACGTAACAGCTGGCTTCAACTTCAATTATTTTCATCCTGTCACCTCTTCTTCAGATGTACCTTCAATTTTCTGTTCCATCTTATATCAATCACAATCATATACTAAAAATTTATCCTAAAGTTTGAACTTTGAAGCATGCGTGTATAGTTGAAAATTAAGAGAGATTTTTTTTAGAACATTTAATTAGTACTAGCATTGATTTATTAGATGGTATTTGGGAATGGGAAATTAAATGGCCTTTAAAATTTAAATCCCAATTTTTCTGAAAAAGAAAATCTCCACCAACAAGTAAAATAAATGCCCAGTTGTGTCAATGCGGATGATATATAGCCTGGAGCCATACCCATTTAATTTTGAGTGACCTTTGTTGTACATCATGAAACGGCCATTTATTCTAGGAAAAAATATATTTTTAATAATAATAAATTTTAGGCACTGATTTTATTCAACATTTTTTTTTTTTTGGGTTCAACTTGATATAATAATTATTAGTTTTGTATTGAAACTGTAAACTGAAATTCTTATTTTTTAAGTACACTAAGAACAAAATATATGGAGGAAGGCGCTCGAGCAAGTAGGCGTAGTCACCTCTAAACTGATAAGGTGGCGATAGGCGGTTCAGGTGCCACCAAAGCACCCGTTTTATAGTTTTTATTTTTCAAAAAAATGTAATAAAACTATATTTTAAGTTTTATCCATAAAATCTACAATAATTATAAAACAATAAATACGATAATTATGTAAAATTGATAAAATAATTATAAGTACATAATATTTTTTAAAATAATTTTATTAAAACATACTAATTAGTGCAATCTATAAATATATTTTTTTAAGTTGTGAATAATTATAAATATAAATAAATTTATTAGTATTTCTACGACCTCGCCAAGTCTGTCAGTCTAAAACCCGCACACGCGTTAGTCCATATATTGGGCCATGTTTTGGAAAAATTAATCACTTGGTAAGTAATTAACTGGAAATAAAGTTTTTTTTTTTTTGATTCATAATTGGATGCCCGTCTTTAATTCAAATTTCACTCCAACTTATTCTTCCTAATATTTTTAACATCATTAAATATTTTAAATCAATCACTACTACACCATTTATGATAAAGTTTACTATTCACCTTCTTACAAAATTTTAAATACCAATTCTTTACCATCAATATTTATTGTTTTATATCCCATCAATTTTAATTTTAATTATTCAATTAGAAGAATACGTATTTTCCAATCCTACAACAATCATCCAACAAATTTTTAGAGGCATTAAATAGCCTTAGGGGTAATCTTGGAAAACTAAGTGAAAAAAATGCCACTATAAAATTAACATGCCGGGGCTTGTGGAGCTTAAAATCAACATATTATTTCCAGTGATGGCTACAAAACTTGTTCTTGCACTGGTTTTTTCCCTCCTCTTACTTTTGCAGGCAAGAAAAATAAAATATATATGTATATAAAATTGTTAATTTTTATTTTTCATTTTCCAGCAAAATGCAGCTAATAATATAAAATTACTACAATAAATTTTCTTTAGTTAAGTATTTATTTTCAGAAGTTGTAGCTGCTTAGCTTGTTCTAATGTTATATCACCTTGCTTATGTTACTTTTTATAGTGTTATTTTTTATATATTTAACATTCTTTTGAGCTATTGCAGGTGTCCTCTGATCCCAGAAATAATGGAGAAACACACCATGCTAGCCAGGCATTGCATGTGAGTCACTTTCTTTAATTTCCATCTTTTCAGATTTTTATTTTATGATCTATTTTTCCTAATTAATGTGGGTTCATTTTATATTTGGCTGTACTTTATTATATCGTATATTTATAATTTATATTACTGTAGATTGCAGAGTTTAAAACAAGTACTAAGTTGCAAAAAAAATATTTTACCCATTTTTTACACATGACATTTGTTCATTATTTATCTGTAAGACTGTAACTTTTTTTTTCTCCTTTATTCACCTTAATTTTAAGTTTTTTCTTGCTTGTTCAGATGCTTAGCAGAGGAGAGAGGAAGTTGATGCACAAATCCTGTGAGTTGTCTTATGTACTTTTGCTTTATAAATTCAAGATTTTGACAAAAGATACCAACTTTTCTCCCTTTTTTTTTTTTTTCTGTTTCCTTATTTATTTTGAATTAATCTTGGTGATGCTATCATGCTGATGCACAGTTTAAATAAATGGCTTTGAATGAGGGTATCAGTTAGACAGTTACTCATTCTGGCAATATGCACTAATTAGCCTGACTTGTCCTTTTTCCCTTACTGATTTTTTCAAATTCACTGTACTGAAACTAATTAGTAATTGCACATGTTTTACTGTAATCATAGTGTATATGGTTTCATGTAACTTTATAAGATATTTCTACAAACACGAATTCTTAGGCTGGTCGATCCATAATTAATAAAAATGGACAGCATTAATACGGTCAAATATCATATTATATTTTTACCTTGAAAATATGTATATCAGTTCAAAAAAGTACTAACGATTAGGTTTGATTAAACAATAGTCTTACTGTTCTACAAATGATAAGATTGTTAATTTCAGTTTGAAATTATGTAAATTTATTAAAAAAGAAAAAAAAAACATAACTATTTGTACTCCCAAATCATTAACCCAATCGACTACGTACACAATTTCGATTCTTTTCGACAGCTCTTGATATCTCCAAGTATTTTTACAACCCGATGTTCTCCCGAGCGCTTGCTTTTGCCCCGGCTCCGAGCCCGAGCCCGAGCCCTAGCCCAGATTGCAACGGGCTGTGCCAGCACAGGTGCAGCCTTCACTCAAGGCAGAAGGTGTGTGTAAGGGCTTGTGGGACTTGCTGTGTGAGGTGCAAATGTGTGCCTCCAGGGACATTTGGCAACAGGGAAATGTGTGGAAAGTGTTATACTGATATGACAACACATGGAAATAAGACTAAGTGTCCTTGAGTACTTGAGTTGAGTGAGGCCATGTTGTTTGTGGCTTNTGGATTTTTTGATGGATTTATGTTGATTTAAGTTTGGTTGGTACTATTTTGTTGTAGTGATGTGTTTGATGGGGTTATATGTTTTTTTACTTGGGTGAAGTGAAATGCTTTTTCTGCATTTATCCTGATCTTGGTACTCCATATTTTGCATTTCTAGCTTGTGTTATAGTTTTTGGAAATAATTGGAAAGTACATTTAATTTTTCTTTTTTTTTAATTTGTGAGATCTTTTTGGGGCCAAATTGCACCAAAATCTTGCATACTAAAATTATAGGTTCAAATTCATGTGAAAATATACTTTACTTTGTGAGAGATGTTAAACGAAACAAGTTGAGCTTTTGTATGTTAGACTTGAAAAACAAAGAGTTTTATGTAATTTTCAACTCTAATTTATATTTATATTAAAAAGTATATCTATTACCAAATTTAGTATAAAGAAAAGTCAACAACAGTTATTGCATTACTATTTCCATATTATACAATTTATATCTATACTTATATAATAAGGGGTACCATTTACGAAATTTAGTAAGTTGAAAAGTCAATGCAATAAATTCATTACTATTTTGAGCAATATAATATAATATCATATCTATACTTATATAAAAAAAGATTCTATTTAATACATTTACTATCCAGAAAAGTCAACTGCATTAAATGTCATTACTATTTTGGTATTATAATATTTTATTTATTTATTTTATTTTAAAAAGGTAAGTATAATAAAAAGATTTTAATAATAAAAAAATCAAATACCAAATAAAAATGTACACTTTGACTTATTTGATTATAATTGGTATTTGATTATACCAGATATATTCCTATTTAGTATATACATTAAATACTTACTAAAGTATTTATTTGTTTTATTTGTCAAAGTTAAGTATAGATTTGTTTATATATATTATCAAATCATAAAAAAATATTAAATCCATATTGTATGAAAAAAAATTATATAATTTTATAACAATTCTACTACACTATTTAACAATATTCTTTTTTTATTATATAATAAAATAATAATTAAATATTATATGGTGAATAACAATAAGTAAAACTGTTACTTTCTCTTATATCAAGGAATAAATTTATATGCTAAAATTAAATTTTTATTAGTATAAATGTTTTAGTGAGATAATATATTAATTATTTTACAAGCTAGCCCTAACATGCTCATATTTAATGTTTTAAAAGATGTAGAAAAAAACTTATAATAACTCTATTGTTTTTTAGACTTAAACGTTGATTAAAAGAGGTAAAAATTCCTAATTTTTTAGACTTAAACGTTGATTAACACCATAGATTGAGAGTCTATATTTAGTAAAATTCCTAATTGTAATAAAAAAAACTACAATGAAAAAAGCAAGTCAACTATATATTGATTTGTTGTACTCCTCAAATCACATTCACAATTTGGCTACAAGGAAAGGAAACTCATTGATTAAAATATTATTTTGTCAGTAGTCTTAATGTACAAGAGACTTTAAGACTCCACTTGAATATTATAAAACTTTTGTTGAACATTGTACAATTTTCTTGCGTATTATAAACTTTTATTGAATATTGCATCTTATAATATAATATTCTCCAAATAAATATATCCAGTGCTTCGCACGGGTCACGTACTATATATATCATGTACATTTTTATTTATTCATGTATATAATTATAAATCTGGATAAATAACCTTAAAATTGTGCACCCGGTGCATCGCACGGGCTCTGTACTAGTTTATATAAAAGGATATTCTATTTACTACATTTATTATCCAGAAAAGTCAACTGCATTAAATGTCATTACTATTTTGGTATTATAATATTTTATTTATTTAATTGATTTATTTATTTGTTTTATTTTAAAAAGGTAAGTATAATGAAAAAATTTTAATAATAAAAAAATCAAATACCAAATAAAAATGTACACTTTGACTTATTTGATTATATTTGGTATTTGATTATACCAAATATATTCCTATTTAGTATATACATTAAATACTTACTAAAGTATTTATTTGTTTTATTTGTCAAAGTTAAGTATAGTTTTGTTTATATTATCAAATCATAAAAAAATATTAATTCCATATTAAAAAAAAAAAAATCATATAATTTTATAACAATTCTACTACACTATTTAACAATATTTCTTTTTTATTATATAATAAAATAATAATTAAATATTATATGGTGAACAACAATAAGTAAAACTGTTACTTTCTCTTATATCAAGGGATAAATTTATATGCTAAAATTAAATTTTTATTAGTATAAATATTTTAGTGAGATAATATATTAATTATTTTACAAGTTAGCCCTAACATGCTCATATTTTAATGTTTTAAAAGATGTAGAAAATAAACTTATAATAACTCTATTGTTTTTTTGGCTTAAACGTAGATTAAAAGAGGTAAAAATTCTTAATTTTTTAGACTTAAACGTTGATTAACACCATAGATTGAGAGTTTATATTTAGTAAAATTCTTAATTGTAATAAAAAATTAATTTTTGCTATATTTTAGAATATCTTTAAATTCATTAAAAAAAAAAAGAAAAAGAAAAAACTAAAATGAAAAAAGCAAGTCAGCTATATATCGATTTGTTCTCAAATCAAATTCACAATTTGGCTACAAGGAAAAGAAACTCATTGATTAAAATATTATTTTGTCAGTAGTCTTAATGTACAAGAGACTTTAAGACTCCACTTGAATATTATAAAACTTTTATTGAACATTGTACGATTTTCTTACGTATTATAAACGTTTATTGAATATTGCATCTTATAATATAATATTCTCCAAATAAATATATCTCGTACGGGTCACGTACTATATATATCCCGTACATTTTTCTTTTTTCATGTATATTATTATAAACCTGGATAAATAATAGCCTTAAAATTGTGCACCCCGTGCATCGTACGGGCTCTGTACCAGTTCAACTTAATAAGGCTCGTGTTTGGTTTGTAAATTATGAGAAAGTAGTTGAGCTTATTTATCAGCTTGTTTACTTAATAAATTGAACTTAATAAAGATTCGAGTTTGAGCTTGGCTAGTTTACAGCTGTATGTCACTAATTTTTGCATGCAATTCCTCTCTTGCATGGACCCCATCAAATATTCCACTAGTGGCACCATAAAAAATAAAACAAAAATAGGGCATCAACTATCGGTCAAACATGGTCAAACACTTTAATTCTTCTCAATAAGATTCGAGTTTGGTTTGTAAATTTTGAGAAACTAGTTGAGCTTGACAAACCGAATTTAATAAAGATTCAAGTTTGAACGACTTGTTTACAACCAAATTTGTCACTAATTTTTACATACAATTACTGTCTTTTTTCATGGACACATCAAATATTCCATAAGCAGTGGCAATATAAAAAATTACAACACACATAGGGTGTCAACTGTCGGTCAAACACTGTCTCTCATTGTACCTCACATAAACAATTCGCTCATTCTTTGTGTAGATATACATTTTTAGTGCATCAACATGTCTACATTTTACAAACTTTGCTGTCATCACAAATTTCTTTCTGCAAAAACAACCAAAGAAAATTTATTAAATAGTTATTTTCCAAAAGCTAAGGTTATTCATGGACATTAAGGTGCAATTCCATCTAACTTAAAAAATCTCCTGCTTTTCCTTCTTTCATTTTCACACGCACAAGAATAAATGCAGCAATACAAGCTCTAAAGATTTTATAAACAAACACACTGTGTATAGCGAAAAATGGGTGCTTATAGTGTCTAGCTTTCGGTTAAAACTTAACAGTAAATGTGAATTATTTTAATTTACTACGTAATGCACATTGTTGTTGTCATATATTTTGAAATAGTATCCACTGGAGTAATGTACGCTTTCGAGCACGGGCTTTGTTTTACCGTCAAAGTTTTCTCTTTTAGATGCAATATAGAGCCATAAAAATTATGCCATTCGAGCGTGTATTGAAAAAACGTGTTTATAAACTATGAGGCAACAACAAACCTTTTTCCTCCTTGCCTCCAAAACTTCTTCTAGCGGTGGTCGACCTGTAAAAAGTTTTTTTTTTTTTTTTTGTTTTTTTAAATAGTTTCTTTAATTAGGAAAAAAGCAAAAAATCAACAAAAAAGAAACACCTAAAAAAGGAGAAGAATTGAACCTGTAATTTGGAGACGGTATTTAGCCCAAACACCATAAACAGCATCGGCCATGCTTGCAATCTGTGGAAAGGCACGTTCATTGATTGTATTGGGACAAACAGAAACAAGAAAAAGTTTCCATCAAGAAAATATATATACCAGAAATTGAGAATTCATTCCTCCTAATTGCTAAATTAAATTGTAATCTTGCTGAAGGAATACTTACAGGTTCGAATTTTGTAATGGCGTAGACCCATCCCAAACCGACCACTTCATAAAGTCTTCTGAATGCCTGCAAGTTACGTGCAAACTCCATAAGAAACCGACACACAAAGCTAACTCGGTGAAAGCAGTCAGTAAATAGTCTAATGATGAAAATAAGTAACTTTCGAAACTGGAAAATACATAAAAGTACGACCTCAACATCTCTCACAACAGTTCCATCCGATAGAATTGCATGAATTCGGCGCATTACCTGTGTTTTCAAGAAAACTAAAAGCATCACCAAAAGAAACGAAAACAACATAAGCAAATAAATTCAGAAACTTCTTCTAAAAACGAATTACTAGACGTTAAGATATCAATATCATACAGTTCTGTAATCAAGGCCTTGATTGTCCTCCGCGATGTATTCATCCGAACTTATGTCCACGAATTTGATGGCTCGATAGCGTTCATTCCTCTCTCTCAACATATTAACCTTACAATAAGATTATTCAGAGCAAAATTTAACATCAACATCAACGACAAGCACAGGGTATTTTTGACATTCTAGTAATCAAGAAACATTTATTCCATTCAACATCAAGTAAATGTAATCTTCCTTTTCTTTTCCTTTAGCACTCACTTCTTTCATGCAGAGTGGACAATCCCCGTCATAAAGCATCTTAATTTTCCAATTCTCTGACGTGTCTTCCACATTTTCTTTATTGGGAGCCCCTCGAGGATCGACAACCGTTCCATTTATGGCCCGAATCAAGAATTTCACTCCTAAAACCATCACAAGCCCATTCATTACCTAAAGCTAAAGGGAATCAAATATAAACACCATGAAAATCCAAATACTCTTCTTGGAATGATGGGGAAATGGATATAAAAGAAAACGCTTCATTGCCTAAAAAAATAAAGGGTATGAGACATATACCCATATCCATTCACAATACTTACATACTCAAAGCTATTCCCATTCCCGAACAATTGCAAAGCAGCCCTTAGTCCAAATTAGGCAATATGTATAGCCTACAAAAATTATCTAGAAAACATATTATAGTTGCCCATTTTCATTTTCTCACTCATCAATAACCTAAAATTATCTTTTTTACTCTATAAATGAGAAAAGAATATGATCAACTATCACCAGTACACAACAAATTTTTTAAATCTTAATCACCACAATTATGTTACAGCCACAAATCATCACATCAACCATAACCGCCACGGTTCCATTATCATTATTAAACCACAATCAAACAATTTATTTCATTTTATCAATTAATCCTTGCACAAATGTAAAATGAGGTTAAAGAAAAAGACCACGGTCCCAATTAGATAGTGTTAGGAAAGATTGAAATGGACAGCCCACAAAAGAAAATTGAAAAAAGCTCATGACTTTAAGCACAAACGGACAAGGGCTGTCAGAAATTTCAATCACACACATACCCGATTGACGATTAGGAAAATGGGCTTTTGATCTGAACAAAGGGTTTGAAGCAGAGGCATCATAAGCTGTTAGGAGATGGCGAGGAGTGACCGAGAAAATGGAGGTGTTTGCTTGTTTTCCGAGAGCGATTGCTCCTCTGAAAGCCATTAAGCAAACTCTTTGTATGATAATTGTGATTTGAGATTTGGAAATGCATTTTTGTGTTGGATGATGTTTTATGTGGGGTAACTTTTGTGTTTGTTTGGACACCGGTTTTTGTGTTGCGTGGCAACACCTTCTTCATGAGAATATAGTCGCCATTGTCTTAAATCAAACGACGCCGTTTGGGGTTTGGTTAAGACGGCATCGCTTTGCAAGGTCACTTTTGGACCGTTGGATTTAGGGGTTAAATCTCTACCGTTCATCTGACACGTTAAATACTACCTCATTTCATTCTTGTCGCCGTGAATTGAAATATGCTCGGATATTCGAGAGAAATGGACATTGCTGCGAACGGAGTGAAGATGGAATCTCTCCAAATATCGTCCCTCGATGACGATGATGCGGATGAAGACGAGCCCTCAAACGAAGCCGTCCGAGATGACGTCAGCGAGAAGAATAATGACGAATAAGATCGATTACCATTGACGTTGGGGCTTCCGGAGAAATCTAAATGCTCGTGGGGAATTGATCCAGCAGTATTTCCCCAGCAAAGCGGGTGGTGATCCGGTAATTGCCCGGTGTTTAAACGGCGAATTTACTTGATTGATAATCCTTCGGCCTGTAGAACATTTTAGCCGTGTTCTTTTATGAGTTCTTTGAGGAAATACTTTAAATTTATGGCCCTTGTTTCTTACAATTGCACTAAAATTAATGCCTCTGTATTTTTTTGCTTCAAATGCTTCATATACACTCATTTAAATGCTACAATTGTGCTCATTTAATTTGGCATATAATATTTTTGTTTGTATTCTCAAGTTTAGTTTCCTTCTCGATGCATATTTGGTTGGCCTGTACTTGTTTTACCTTACATATTTTACCTTTACATTAGACTTTTGTGTGATACCTTTTGTTAACTTACTTTTTGTTTCAGACGACCTTCCTTGAGGCCTATCAAGAGTAAAGAAGTAAAGAAGCTTATGAATAAGCTAAGAAAAAACTGCCACAGCATAGTGAAAGTAAGTATGCTTTTTGAGTGTTCTTTACATTCACAATAAATAGAATAAAAAAGCTACAATATTTAAGGTCGGGTCAGAATAACTAGTGCCAATTTACGAGTGCCAATGTTTCTCAAACAATAAATGGTGCTAATTTAGCAGTGGCAATTTGTTTCAAACAAAGAGTGTAAGGATGACGAATATCAACCAGAGCATCCTAAGTCGTGCCAAAACACAAATGACGAGAATATGTTATATTTCAAAACACTATTTAGAAATGTACTGCTTACCTCTTCCACCTCCAAAATATTACCCGCTTCTCGATCAGTACCATCACCAAAGGTTCCAATACAACTTAAGGGTTATATTAGTCAAACTGTAATGGGATTACCAAGTTAGTTTTTTAATATTTTTAGAATGTCCAAACCTAAAATTATTGATCAAAATAATATTATTTTTTATCCAACCTAAACTACGAAGTATGTTTTTTTCGCTAAGTAGGATTACGAAGCGTGTGAGATTATCACTTAGGCTTAGCGTATTTTGCAATTATATTTATATAGGGGATATTATTGCCTTATTAATGAAACTACTCAAACTATTTTAATTAATTTAAATTCAAACTTCGAAGTAAAATGGAGACTTTGTCCTAAATTCTTTCAAAGGGAAATTGCAAGAGAAATTGCAAGATCTATTACTACCGAGTCAATCATCAATAGGTTTCGTGACTTGAGAGAACGTCGAGCATAATTCTAATAATCACAAAGTTTAAACGATATGTATTTTCTTTAATATTTTTTTTTCTTGTATATTTTAGAAATGCAATTTTGTCTAGAAATTATTTAGTTCCCCCAATTTAATTTTCGAAATCCTCCCCTGATATTCATAGCCTTCTCATAATTTCAAATTTCAACCTGGGGTTTGTATGTATTCGGTAATTAAACATAATTGCTAAAACAAATTTGATGGTGATGTGATCAACATTTAGATAGTGACACGGACACGTGAAGAGGGTTACAAACTTCTAGAATTGAATGGAGTTGCCATACATGCCTTTTTTAGGGCTCTCCCGTTTTATACCTCATTATTTTTCCCGATTCTCAAAGGTGGAAGTGAAGTGTTTACATTAGTCTATTTGCAATCCCAGATGTTCCGCATGTCGTCTGTGTTTGAAAAGACAATTTAGAAGTGACTGGAATAAGCATAGACGATTTATCCTTATTGGACTCCGTGACTTCTATTTGTCCTCTCAAAGAAAGTTCGATGTGAAGTTGTGTTTAAATTTGTCCATTTGCAATCCCAGAAGTTTCACGTGTCTTTGGTTTGAAAAGACAATTCAGAAGTGACTCAAATAAGGATGGACGGTTTAGTTGTATTGGACGCCTTGACTTCTATTTGTTTATTCTGCAATCCCAGTATCTTTGGCTTGAAAAGACAATTCGAAAGTGACTAGAATAAAGACTCCTTTACTTCTATTTGCTTATTTTGTTGTATTGAATTCCTTGGCTTCCTTATTTTCGCAGTCCAAGACGGGTGAACCTGAATCGTCCATGCTTATTTCACTCACTTTTGAATTGTCTTTCTAATCGAAAACATTGCAACAACTCAAACCTTCTCAACGGGACGAAGTTCACTCTAATGAAACCTATTAATAATTCCAACTTTCCTTGAGAGTCGGGAGAAGTGGTGAGGGAGTTTGAGAGTGAGGTATAAATCATGGAGGCACAACGTATTAGAAGCAAAGCAAATACACGCTTCTTGAAGGCATGTATGAAATCTCCTCGTCAAATCTGCGAGTTTTCGACACTTTCCTCACAGTGTCCCTTTCTTTCACTCTCTAAAAAATCTCGCGAGAAAGGCGACTGGAAAGAGCTGAAGAGCACGAAGATGTGGAAAAAAAAAAAGGTAATATGGCTATGTATTCCGATCATAAATCACTTGTCTATCTTATTTTCAATTATAAATCAAAATTAAATGCAAATTCAGTGTTTGAAATATGACTTGTGTCATTTGTTCAATGGCAACAAGGTGGTGTCACTCGTGCAGAGGAAGTCGAGCAGAGGCTGGCTTCAAAAGACACACTTATATATAAATTGACACAAGATCTTGAACTTTCATGTAATGGGCAAGCATAAAGATATACTCGATGAAAATGAATGAGCTGAATCTACAGAGCTGGTGAACATAGATATCAAAAAAGAGGTAATATTTGAAGAAAATATGACTAATATACTTTCTTGTAGTGAATGATCTAACTGGCTTATGCCTCAAACCAATAGCTGCTAGTTGAAAGAAGCTATTGGTTTGAAGGATCGAGCTAGCTGGATCATTCAAGAAGGGTATATTAGTCATAGTTTCTTTAAATATTACCTCTTCTTTTATATCTATGTTTGTGGATTCAACTCAACTCTTTCCTCTTTCCTTTTGCATCGAGTACATCTTTAAGCTTGCCTCATTACAGCTTTCATTAGTTCAAGTTGTGTGAATTTATATATAAGTATCTTTTTAAGTTGCCTATGCTCGACTTTCTCTGCATGAGTGACACCACCTTGCTGCAATTGAACAAATGACACAAGTCATATTTCGAACACTGAATTTGCATTTAATTTTGATTTATGATATAAAATAAGATAGGCAAGTGATTTATGATCAAAATGCATAGCCATATTACCTTTTTTTTTCAAGATTCTCTTCAGCTCTTTCCTTCTCCTTTACATCCTCTACCACATTCTCGGATAATCCAACATCATCTTGGGCCAACTCATTTGTAAGCGTCTTGAAGCCAGCTGCTGCTCGACTTCCTCTACATGTGATCTTGAGCCTTGCTTGAACTAGATGAACACCATGCAACTGAATTAGTGATAATAAAATGGTACAGGACGTTTAACTTTGAGCAAAACACTTCACATATTATATGGATAATCTATTTCTTGAAAATTTTGAATTGCCATACTACCCTCAAAAGAGGTTACTCTAAAGGACAAACTGTTTTTGATGTTGCAAACTAAGGTTGGGATTTTAATATGATTTTTATTTTATGATTTAGAGTTTGTGCCAACTTGAAAAACCTGATCCACAAGCACTTGATTCAAAGTTTGTTAAGGTTGAACCTTGATTTGTAAAGTCAATTTGAAAACCCTGATCCACAAGCACCTACACATTATAATTTGGAGGTGGTAGTAGTAAATAATTTTTGAGTTGGATTTTTTTTTCAGAGAATGGTCATTTTTAATAGTTCTCTGAAATATGACATTCTGTTTATAAACATATCTATTGCCACTTTGGTTGATATTTGTCCTTTGTTTTGATGTCTGTGTATATACACTTGATATTCGTCCTTTGTTTTGATGTTTGTATATATGCACTTTGTATACACTCTTGTTTGGAAAAATTATTCTGTACACTCTTGTTTGAAAATTTGGCACTGGTTATTCTGACTGAGCGCTTTTATACGGTTTCTTTACTAACGATTCTGACTGACCTTAAATAGTGTCGCTTTCGCTTTTGTTGGGTTTCTTTACTAAGGTGAATATAGAGAGTATTCGGAAAGCATACTCACTCTTGATTGTCTTGTTCTTTAGTATTTGTCAATGTGGTGGGGCAAATTTCATTTTATAGATTTACCAGTTTTTTATTTATAGAGTTATCTGCAAATTTATTCCAAATTTCTGGTTGCTGCAATGTTTTTGGCTTTTGCTTGTGAGGGGTAAATTGAAGAAAATATCAAACTTTGATATTTTCAACTGTAGTCCGGTTTTCATAGTTATCAAGAAAGGCTTCAGCAGTGTTTAAAAAATGTCTATATTCACACCAAGGATCCTCATTAATTATATTTTAAATTTAATTATAAATCCTTGAATCCTATATGAAGGTTCGACCCTACCCATGTAGGCAACATACGCCCGTGTGTATTTCTCCCATAATATAAGGCTAAGTTAGTATTATGATTATTTATCGAGCTTTCGATCTTATTGAAAAGCCAGATGAATGCTTGTGAAATTAACCTATTATTTATAGCACCAACTTACCCTTATATTATGGGAAAGAAGCGGACTATTGAACTGGCAGACCATTGATGTGAAAAATGCGATGGTAGCCTTATATTTTTAATTGATATCTTGTTAATTTATAAGTTTATGATTATAATATAGTTGATGCAATAAAAATGTCGAAATATTTATCTTGTAATTTTATCAGTTTATGATTAAAATAATAGTCGATGTAAAAGTTAGTTTACAACTGTGAAACGTAAGAGATTTTTCTGAACAGCTACATCGAAACATCATAGGTAAATTCAACTTTTTTAGAGGACCATGATACATTAAGTTTACTAGCAAAATAAATAAGTAAAAAAGTATTTTATTGAAAAGCCTCTATTTCACCAA